ATATGCTCAGGCTTGCACACATAAACTTGCGAAGAGGGCCCATGAAAGCCCCACTCTTTGCTCCCGCACTTCCCTAGACACCTCAACTCGCCTGGGCGTCGTTTCTGGATGGGCTGGTGGGGATGCGCGAAGCGTCAAGAATTCTACACGGCTGCTACGCTACGCCATTCAGCGGGTTGATATGCCATCTACGCGGGTCGCGGGGCCTGGCGGGCGGGGTCGAAAGCGCGGGCATGTACCTGGGGTGCCCTGGACCATGGAACCCTAGAGCCCCCGAGAGCCTCCTGGGCCCCCCTGGAAACCCCGCCACCTCACATCCATGAGAGCATGCCGATGGCCGTAGGGGACGGCGCGCATTGCCGCCACGGCTATGCCCTGTGCCACGCGAAGCGCATTGAGGATAAGCTTGGGGCATCGCGAAGCGAGGCGGTATCGTCGGTGGCCCTGCCGCACGAAGCTTACTGCGTGGAGGACTGACTGGCTCTCGCTACGCCAGCGCTGCGGGCAATGCCTCAAAGCCTCCTACGAGGGGAACGCGCTGCGGCCGAAGCCTAATCGGAGAACTCGAAGGCGAAGCCTAATCGGAGAACTCGAAGACAAAACAGGCAAAGCCTAATCGGAGAACTTGAAGGCAAAGCCTAATCGGAGAACTTGAGGGCACAGCCTAATCGGAGAACTCGGAGAACTTGAAGGCAAAGCCTAATCACACAAATCTGAAACGAAACACACACGGAACGTGAAAATGAAACTCGGTCCCTCCACGGAACCCGTGTTCCTACAATGTGAAACTCGGTCCCTCCACGGAACCCGTGTTCCTACAATTTGAGCTCGGCCCCTCCACGGAACCCGTGTTCCTACAGTTTGCCTCAGAAGAACTCCAGTGTGACCACACCATCTGGCTGTATATGCTGATATGCTCAGGCTTGCACACATAAGCTTGCAAAGAGGGCCCATGATTCACCATGATTTTACGGATGAACATCCGGCTCCCGCCCCTCGCCCTTCCGTGGCGGGCGCTCCCCTCCTTCGCTCAACACGAGCGCCGCCGCGGGATTGGTGACGGCGAGGCGCTCAAAGACCGCGCGTCCTCGCACGCGATCCTCGAAGAACGGCGCCTTGCCGATCTGCAGCTTCAGCAACTGGTGGGCCTCCTGGTCGCCGATGTCGGCCGCGAGCCAGGCCATGTGGCGCCCGACAGGGCGCCCTTGGTTGCCTCGGCCAGGCCTCAGCGTTCGGTCGACCTTGCAGCCGACGTGGCCTGGCAGACAGCAATGTGCATCCAGCGTTCGACGCGACGGGCTGAAGCAGAGGTAACCGCCCGGCACTTTGATGTACATGTAATCGCCTCCAAGTGCCGGCGGCGGCGGAGGCGGCACGGCGTCGTCAGGCGCAGCAGCATCGCCGCCATCACCGCCGCCGCCAGGCGCGTCGCCTCCAAGTCCGCCCCCAGGTCCTGCGCCGCCTCCCCCCTCCATCTCGCCCTCGTGGATATCGACGATCCCGCCCTCGGGATCAGACTCAGATCCCTCGCCGCCTGACTCAATATCTGAGAACTCCTCTGCGCCTGCGGGGCGGGCTGGGCCGCCCGCGCCGCCTGGCAAGGGAAGCAGCGGCATGCCCACTCGTGCCTTCAGCCCGCCGCACGGGGGCTTGTGAGGGCGGGGCGCCTTTTCCTTCTTCTCGGCAGCCGCGAGCAAGTCGATCATGTCGGGGGGATCAGCCTCTTTGCGGGGCGCCTTCCACACGCCTGGGAATATCTGTTGCGCCTCGATGGGCTTCACCAATAACTCCCATTCCAAGAGGCTCCCTTCTTTTAACTGACGCCGGTGAGGACGCCCCAACTGCACATATAGATCTCCCTGGACATCTCCCTCGCCGTAGCCGCGCAAAATAGTCTTCGCCACTGTCCACGTAGATACGAACTCATTCCTGCCTGGCCTTCCCCTGAAATCAATCAGCAATCCGCCGTCGTCGGTCATCGCGAAACAGTTGCACTTGGCCAAAACGGCCACCTGCGGGGCGTACTTCCTGCGCGCCCTCATGCCAGCCACATACCACGCGTCGACGTCCTGGTCCGCCGACCCCGTGGTGATAATAAAGCGGCCTTGGGCACCATAATGGACGCAGAACCGCTCGATGTTCCGCGCGACGACCAAGGCGTCCTGGGAGCGGCGCGGCGGGGCACCAGGAGGGGGGGCGAGGAGGGGGGGCTGGGGGGGAGGTTGAGGCGGCTCCGAGTGCTTCGTCGCAGGCGCTCTCGGGCTCTGGCGCCTCCGGGGGGGCCCTCGGACGGAAGCGGGCCCCCGGGGGGGGGGGCCCTTCGGAGTTGGACTTGCGGGGCTCTTCGGTCCGAAAATGGCGCCTGGGGGGCATGGGCCCAACTCTTCACGCTTCGCGCATCCCCGCCCGCCCATCCAGCAACGATGCCCAGGCCATTGCAAAGATCAAGGAAATGGGGGAGCATACAGAGGAACAAAGGGTCCAAGAGGGGGAGGCTGGAGGAGTCGGAAGAGGGGGAAGGGGATGAGGGAGGAGGGAGGATGAATAGACGGATGAAGAGGAAGGAAGAGAGAGAGAGAGAGAGAGAGAGAGAGAGAGAGAGAGAGAGAGAGAGAGAGAGAGAGAGAGAGAGAGAGAGAGAGAGAGAGAGAGAGAGAGAGAGAGAGAGAGAGAGAGAGAGAGAGAGAGAGAGAGAGAGAGAGAGAGAGAGAGAGATGAGAGAGAGAGAGAGAGAGAGAGAGGAGAGAGAGAGAGAGAGAGAGAGAGAGAGAGAGAGAGAGAGAGAGAGAGAGAGAGAGAGAGAGAGAGAGAGAGACGACGAGAGAGAGAGAGAGAGAGAGAGAGAAGAGAGAGAGAGAGAGAGAGAGAGAGAGAGAGAGAGAGAAGAGAGAAGAGAGAGGAGAGAGAGAGAGATGAGAGAGAGAGAGAGAGAGAGAGAGAGAGAGAGAGAGAGAGAGAGAGAAGCCGAGCGTGGAAGGAGAGGAGGGGGAGGAGGGTGTTGGGCCATCTTGGAAGCTATGTTGGAGCCCGCTTGGGGTTGTTTTGGGAAGGTGGCATCTTGGGGCCCTCTTGGAGCTCTTTGGGGGTCTTGGGATCCACTTGGAGCCTCTTGGGGGTGCCTTGGGCGCCTCTGCGCCTCTTGGGGCCCTCTTGGGGCGCTCTTGGGAGCCGTGGGGGCGCTCTTGCGGGGCTTCGGCTCCGAGTGCGGGGGGGTCACGCTTCGTCTTGGGCGCGTGTCCCGACCGGGCCTCCGGGCACAGAAAGCCTTCCAGAGCGTCCTCCCCCCTCCCTCCTCCCTCGTCCCGTCTCCATGTTCCTGCCTCCTCGCCCTTACCTCCCCATGGCCCCCCTCCCCTCTTCCTCCGTCTGTCTTCCTCCTCCTCCTCCTCCCCCATCCCCCCCCTCCCCCTCACCCCCCTCCACCTCCTCCCCGCCGAGCCCCGCGCAAGCGAGCGAATGGGCTGGAGGGTTGGGCGCCCGCGCCGCTCCTGATATACATCAGCGTCGCGCTCATAGCAGAGACCAGGATGGCGCTCGCCGCGCGTCAGCCGAAGTACCAGCTGTTGCTCGTGTGGAATGACATTGCGAGCACCATCGCTCGCGAGCCGCGCCCGCCGCTCCCACCTTCGCCTCGCTCCGACTTCAGCAAAACCAATCGACTTCCCACCGTTGAACTCGGCCAAGACCGCCTCGCTCACGGGCCACTCGCCGTCCCCGGCGTGGAACGCGGGCAGGTCCAGCGGCCTTGGCGGGGGGACAGGGGGCAAGGCGTCGCCCTCGCTGCCCTGAGAATCCGCGGGGGCCTGGTCGGCCATTTGCTCGGCGAACTCTTTGTACAACTCCTGCGTTTTCTGTTGCACGGCAGCGTCGGAGACGGCCTCCTGAGCATGCTTCCATTCATGCAAGCGCTTCCTGACCCATGTAACGTCGGGCCTCCTCGCTCTCACGTGCCCCTGATCCCCAGCCCTAGCCAGCTGCGCGACAGGCAAGTCCTTGCGCAGCATGGTGGCCCTGTCCTCCCTCAACGGGTTGTCGGCCCCGACGTCAGTGTGTGCCTTCCAGAGCTGCGTCAACAAACCCATGTGGCCGAGGCTCTCCGCGCATGGATGGGATCGACTCCACGGCAATGCCATCTTGATCTCTCTCAGCCGCCGCTCCATGTGCATATTTGTCATCTTGAACTGTTGCCGCAAATGGTGCATCAACTCCATGGGGCCAAGACCTGCGACGGGATTGGAAGACGACGCCAACGCGGCCCCGCCGCTCCTGGCCAGGGCCGCCCCGGGGCCTGAGATGGCGCGCCCTCCAGGCATCGACCAGGAGGGATGAGCCAACGACGACGACGACGACGACGACGGCCCCAGGCCCTGGGATGGCCCCGGCCAGCGGCGGCAAGCAGCGCGGGCAGCTTCCGTGGGGAGGCGGCTCCAAATACGCGCAGGCAGCGGGGCCATGACAAGACCCATGCGGCCCATGCGGATGCAAGGCCCTGGATAAGGACGGGCCGAAACAGCAATGATGCAAGGGCGCCCCTGGGCCCTGGGCCGTTCGCGGGCGACTGGCAAGAGATGGGCTGAACCCTGGGCGGCCGAGAAAGTGAGGAGGGCGACGACGTCGGGGATGCTGCCGAGATGGCGAGGAGGAGGGCGCGGCGTTGATGGCCCTGGAGATGCCCAAAGAATATGGTTGGATGAGGAATCCAAGGTCTGGAAGCCAGCGGAATCGCCAACTGCGCATCTTCGCCGCCACCCCCATCAGATGGGAGATGGGGAACCATCTGAGATCTGACGCCTCCCGGGCACATTCCACATGTCTTAACCCGCGCCCCCCACCCCCTCCTCCTCCTCCTCCTCCTCCTCCTCCTCCTCCTCCTCCTCCTCCTCCTCCTCCCCCTCCTCCTCCTCCTCCTCCTCCTCCTCCTCCTCCCCCCCCTCCTCCCCCAGTTCAGGAGTTCGGCCGCGCCTGCCGCGAAGCCCGCCTTCAGCGGTCCCTGCGTCAACCAGTCATCCTCGTCGAAGCGAGCCCTCAGCGGCTCCCCGAACTGCTCGCTCAAGCAGCACAGCGGCGCCCTGTAGAACTCCTCCAAGGGCTTTGTGTCCGCATAGCTGGCCATCATCAGCCTGCGATCGGGCGCCTGCATGGGCACCTCCAGGCGCGCCCACACCTGGCTCCCGAGGTACATGCACGCAGACATCAACGAATCAAGGATAGATCCGTGCTCACATTCGGGGAACTGGTCCATCAGCATGCGGAGTGGCCACGAAGTTCGGTCGGTGACTTGGTCGTGCCAGGGGTTGTTCACCAGGAAAAGGTGGCGCTGGCAGTGCCCCAAGCTGCCGCCGTCCTCCCGGAACGCGTCGGACACAGAGCAGCCCACTGCATCGTCGTGCTGGAGTCCCATTGTCAACTTGTCCACCGCTTCGGAAGCCACGACGGAGACGGCGAGCAAGGCGGGGGTCCTGTCATCGGCCATGAACTCACCGCACGCCCGCGCTTTCTGTGTCGCATACGCCGTCCATGAATCGCCGTCGCCCCCCTGCTCGTCATTCTCGCTACTAGAAGGGGCCGCTGCGACCGCGCGAGGCAGGATGCGACATAAGAGGACTCCGAGGGCGGCGCCCTCGCAACTGGGGCCCCACGTATGCCACCGATTCAAGGACGGAACCCGTTGGCTGATGGGGTGCAGGACGGCCGCATCGATAAGGGCCATGGCGCGGTCTATTGTTATCTCGTGGTTCCTGTTGCCGCAACACCCTTCCTGATGACACCAGTGCTGCAATCCCGAGATACTCCAGTCGCCGTTGAAGAAGTCCAATATCGCCGTACCCAATGCTGCCACATCCTCGTCACTCTCCTTATTCTGATCGTTGCCGGGAACTCTGTGGCCGCCGCCGCGAGTGTCAAGGTGCCGGAGGAGGGTAGCTTCGAGGACTCGACGGTTGCGCTGCCTGAAGTGCGGCGGCGGGCTTTGGCCAGGGAAGAAACCGCTCCCGGCAGCCAGGTCGCTGGCCACCACGTGGCGCAATGCGTTGTGGAGCACGCGGTAATACTTCAGGGAGTTGAAAGTAAACGAGAGGGCGTGAAGCTTGGGGAGCAGCTTGCTTTTCCCAAACGCCTTGTCAGAGGAAGCGTTCAACACGTGGGCGCCGCAAAAGGTGTCCAGCATCAGCGCAACGCCCCTCGCGCCTGTTAGCAGACCGAGCGAGGCCACATTCGCTTCGTTCACGCACTGCGCCATCCACTCTTTGCAACGCACATTTCCTGTATCCAAGTCGCCCAGTGCAGTTAAGAGAACGACGGGCGCGGTGTTCAACATGCCCAACGCTGACTGCAAGCTCACACCGGGCTGCAAGGCGTCAACGTTTATGGCCTCCGCGAGGGCGCTGGCATCGCTGGACGGCAAGAATCTCGGTGGGAGCTGAAGTGGACCGCGCTGCACGATGGGAAAATCCCACCAGCCCAATGGCCAATGGGCGTACATCGGTTTCAACCTAAGATGGCCTCCAGGATGGTTCAATATAGAACATAGATGGCAATATAGCCGAAGATTGCTCAAGACGGCTTCCAGGATGCTCCCGGAGACTCCACGCCGCCCCAAGACTGCTCCAGGAAACGCGCAGTTGAACAGAGAGAGGACGCGCCTCGATGTCGTCCAAGATGGCCCCGCGAAGCTCCCTAGAGGCTCCGAGACGCCCCCCACGAGGCACCCAATATGCTGGCCAATATGCCCCCAATTGGGGCCCAAGAAGCCTCGTCGTCGTCGTCGTCGTCGTCGTCGTCGTCGTCGTCGTCGTCGTCGTCGTCGTCCGTCGTCGCCCAGGCCTGGCGGGTACGCGAAGCGTCAAGAATTACTAGAACTCTCAAACTGGCACCACGTGACAAGAACATCTTGCGCGAGGACCTGAAGCGTGCCGTGCGTGGGGGTCTTGGCCATGCCCTTCCGCACCCAGTCGTCGTACAGGAGGTGCTTCCATGATGGTGACGCCGACGACGTGTCCTCCCACCAGTAACGGGCAAGCGGCCGCAGCACGTCGGCCATGACGCCGAACTGAACCTGCAGCGGCGTGCAATCCCAATTCCACTCGATGGATATCCAACCTCGCCCTTTATCAGCAGCCGTGGAGAATGATAAGGCCATCTGCTTGACACACTCAGCCTGGTACGATTGGTGGGCGAATCCCACCATGGCAGCAGCGTCCAACGACCTCTGGCTCTCCTGGTGGCGCTTGCTGCAGGTCGAACCCAAGCGTTCGAAGGCGAGCCTCAGCTTCAGACGATCGGGATCCGCCATTCCGATCGGCGGAGGAGCAGGGGGAAGGACGAGAAGGAGGAGGAGGGAAAGAGGAAGAGGGGGGAAGATGGGGGAGGCGGAGGAGGAGGAGGAAGGAGGACGACGCTGGCCGTTCGGGAAGGTTTTCGGACGTTTTCGGCCCTTTCGGGACTCTGGAAAACTCCAGGGGGCCTCCGGGGACCTCCAGGGGTCAGGATCCGGGGCGGGAGCACAACTTACCACCGCCCTGATCGCCGCTTTCCGCCCTCCTCTATCCATCCAGCCCCCTGTCCCTGCCAATTCCCATCCTTCCATTTCCCATTCCCTTCTCCTCATCCTCCCTCCCTCCTCCTCCTCCCTCCTCACCCCCATCATCCCGCTCCCCATCCCCCGCCCCCCTCAAGGCCCACTGAGGTCGCGGCCGCAGGGTGCCGCGAGCGGTCCACGACCGCGGATGGCGACGTCCAGTGGCCCCAACGTGGGCCGCTCTGGTATTGAAGGCCGCCGGCGCCACAAAATGCTCGCCGACGCGGAGCTTCTTGCTGTTCGCGTCGTCCACCAGCCGATCCAGAACCTGCCGATCCCGCTTCGACCTCTCGAAGCGCCTCGTGGCCGCGCGGTGCAGGTTGGCACCGACTCTCGAGAGTTCCCGGGAACCTGATGGGAATTCCTCGCGCCTCGGGGGGAGAGGGCCGCAAGAGGGCCTTGCTGGCGCCCGCCCCCCGCTCGAGCGGCCAACCCGTCTTCGCCCCTCCGACTCGGACGTCAACCCAGTAAGCCCCTCCGACTCGGACGTCAACACAGCAAGAGACTCGGACGTCAATCCAGCAAGCCCGTCAGAAACATCGCCGGGGGGATCAGAATCGGGCGACAGGGAAGAGAGGGGAATGAGACGCCCCGTCCCCGACCCCCGCCTGCCCCCCGCCCAAAGGGGGGAGGAGAGGAGGGGGGATGAAGTGGAAAGGAGGAGGGAGTGAAAAGGCGGCAGGCTTGAGGATCCAGGGAGGAGGAGGACGACGACGACGACGACGACGACGACGACGACGACGACGACGACGACGACGACGACGACGAAACTGCCATTCCTGCGCTCCTACTCCCCTCCTCCTCCCCCTCATCCTCCTCCCCCTGCCCCTACTCCCCCTCCTCATCCCCATCGTCCTCCTCCTGCCTGCCCCTATCCCCAGGACTCCTCTCCTCCCGCCACGGGCGCGGGGGGGGGAGGGAGGAGGCGTCTCGACGTCCCCCTCTCAGCGAGGGGGCTGTCGTCCCGCCAAGCCTGGGCCATAAGTGCCCAAACGATTGAACCAAAACGACAGCGGACGACGACGACGACGACAGACCTGACACGACGACGACGACCTGAGACCGCCGTCCGCCGCCCCATGGCCCATGGCCCATGCGGGACATCGGGATATCAGCGACCGCCGCCCCATGCGGGACATCGGGGCATCAGCGCCCGCCGCCCCATGCGGGACATCGGGATATCAGTGAGTGATATCAGCGTCCGCCGCCCCATCCGGGACATCGGGATATCAGCGTCCGCCGCCCCATGCGGGACATCGGGATATCAGCGACCGCCGCCCCATGCGGGACATCGGGACATCAGCGTCCGCCGCCCCATGCGGGACATCGGGATATCAGCGTCCGCCGCCCCATGCGGGACATCGAGATATCAGCGTCCGCCGCCCCATGCGGGACATCGGGATATCAGCGACCGCCGCCCCATGCGGGACATCGGGACATCAGCGTCCGCCGCCCCGTGCGGGACATCGGGATATCAGCGTCCGCCGCCGCCCCACGCGGGACATCGGGATATCAGCGTCCGCCGCCCCATGAGGGACATCGGGATATCAGCGTCCGCCGCCCCGCGCGGGACATCGGGACATCAGCGTCCGCCGCCCCATGCGGGACATCGGGATATCAGCGTCCGCCGCCCCATGCGGGACATCGGGATATCAGCGTCCGCCGCCCCGCGCGGGACATCGGGACATCAGCGTCTGCCGCCCCATGCGGGACATCGGGATATCAGCGTCCGCCGCCCCATGCGGGACATCGGGATATCAGCGTCCGCCGCCCCATGCGGGACATCGAGATATCAGCGTCCGCCGCCCCGTGCGGGACATCGGGATATCAACGAAATCAATCGTGATCCGCGGACCCCGATGGGGCCCCCGAGGCGTGCGCGGCAGCCACGGCACGGCACGGCACGACACGGCGCGGCACGACAGGGCACGGCACCACGCGTTTAGCGGGGTTGAGGTGAGTTTTGGTGAATCACACGCTGCTTGAATACACTTATCGGTGAGGTGGCTGTCTTCGGAATGTTATGTTTGCTTGTATTAACTTTTCGGAAACGGTTGTTTTCCAAGAATTGCAAATATTAGATTTTGAAATCCAGGATTTTGTATTTTTGGCTGTGAATTCTTGGTTTTGATGGTTTTCTTGGTCGGGCCTCCGCCTTACCGCGCATCAGGAGCCTTCAGCGTATGTACGTACGCATGCATGCACCCACACACGCACATACACACACATACACTTATACACATACAAACAAGGACAAATGAGTACTTGCATCCATACATACACACGTACATACATACATACGTACAAACAGACAGACAAACAGACAGACAGGCAGATATACAGACATACAGACAGACAGACAGGCAGACACACTGACATACATACAGACGAACGTACAGACTAGACATACAGACATGCGAGAGAGCGTGATCCACCGCCGCTTTACTGTGGAAAATTGCCAGCGTTTTCCTCCAGAACCCGGGGGTCGCCCCCCCCCCCTCCGAAAATCCTCCCCCCCCCCCTGCTGGACCCCCCCCCTGCCCCCCCCCTCCCCTGCAAAACCCCCCCTCCCCTAACCATCCCCCCCCCCCCCTCCCCTCGAAAACCGGGGGGGGGTCACTACCGGTTTCCCCCCCCCCCCCCTCGATCTGGAAAAACCGGGGGGGGGGTCATACCGGTTCGAACATCCCCCCCCCTCCCTCGAAAACCGGAGGAGGGTCACTACCGGTTCGACCCCCTCCCCCCCCACGCACCGCCAGCAAACGACTCCCGGTCCCTACCACCGTCCGCATCACATCCCCCACTGTTGTTCCCAGCACCACTGTCCTCACCACCACTGTCCCCACTGGTTCCACCACCGTCCCTACTGTCCCCACCAGTGCCCCCACCACTGTCGCACTGTCCCCACTGTTCCCACCACTGTTCCCACCACGGTTCCACTCTCCCCACTGTCTCCACGGACCCAACCACTGCCCGACTATCCCCACTGTCCCCACTGTCCCACTGACTCCTCCGCTGTCCCACTGAGCTGTCCCACTGTTCCCACCACTGTCCCCACTGTCCCCACCACTGTCCCCACTGTACCTCTGTCCCATTGTCCCACCGCCGTCCTCGCCACCGCCTTCACCACTGTCCCCACCACCATTGTACCCTCCACTATCCCACTGTTTCCACCTCATTCCCACTGTCCCCACACCACTGTCCCCACCACCACCGTCCCCACCACTGTCCACTGTCCCCCCCGTTCCCACCATTGTCCCCACCACTGTCCCCACCACTACCGTCCCCACCACTGTCCCACTGTCCCACTGTCCCCACCACTGTCCCGCTGTCCCCTCACCACTGTCCCCACCAACACCGTCCCCACCACTGTCCGCACCCCCACTCGGTTTTCGAGGGGGGGGGGGGGTCGAACCGGTAGTGACACCCCCCCCTTTTCATGATGAGCTGGGGGGGGGAGGGGGAGGAGGGGTTCGAACCGGTAGTGACCCCCCCGGTTGTCCGAGGGGGGGGGGGGGGGAGAGGTTCGAACCGGTAGTGACACCCCCCGGTTTTCCGCCAGCAGCGGTAGAACACGCTCTTTCAGACATGCAGGCATGCAGGCATGAGTACCTACAGACATACACGCACACGCAGACACCCTCCGACGAACTTTGCGTGTACCTTCCGGGAGGGTGGGCGTGCATGACAAAGTCGCTGGCTCTCCGTGGCGACTCACACACCGCCGCCCGCCCCCGAGGCCCAGGGACGGCCCACTGGAGAGTGCCTGCGCAGATGTGCTCTGTGGCGGAGGGCACGCCAACGAGTCGCAGGGGTCTTTTCGGGTCGGGCGAAAGGGGGGGATAGCAAAGGGGGGGTTTGAGAATCAGCTCACGTAGCTGATTTTCACGGCGCCTCCCGGCGCTGGAGGCGGCTATGTATCGAGGAATGGGCCCCTCGGTGAGGCCGAAACCAGCTGCATGCAGCAAATTTCGTAACCCCCCCTTTCCCAATCCCCCCCTTTCGCCCGACCCGATCTTTGGACGTCGAGAGGACGGGGGGGGGGGGGGGGGCGCAGGCGGCCGCGCGGGCGCCCGTGGCCGCGGAGGCGCCCGGGGGGGACGAGCGGAGAGACGCCACCCGGCAGAGCCCTGGGCCCGTGCCCTCGCAGAGAGCACCCCCGAGGAGGAGGACCCGCCTGCTGGAGGAGGAGGAGGAGGAGAAAGAGGAGGAGGAGGAGGAAAAGGAGGAGGAGGAGGAGGAAAAGGAGGAGGAGGAGGAGGAAGGGGAGGAGGAGGAGGAGGAAGAGGAGGAGGAGGAGGAGGAGGAGGAGGAGGAGGAGGAGGAGGAGGAGGGGCACGCCAACGAGGCCGCGGGAGGCCTGCGACGCCACGAGGGCGCGGGAGGCCCGCGCGGACGCGCGCGGCCGGGGCGGTCGCGGGCCGCGCAGCAGCCAGGCGCCCTGGGGGCCTCGGGCCGCTCGCCGAGCAGGCGCGCTCGGCCCGGCACGCCGCCAGCGTCGCGGCACGCGCGGAGCGCGGAG